CACAACAACCCACACTGGTTAGGCGCTTTTAATCCCAGTTCTTACAGATGAGAAAACTCAGTGTGGAGAAGTTAGTGCCTTGCTGGGTGGCACACACTTTATCTGTTATATCTCCAGGCAGAATGTTCAGATCTCCCCACCTGCATCTCTGCTGCTCTCACTAATAACCACAGCCTGTTATCAAGATCATCAGTGTGGGTGCATTGACACTCAGCATAGAAACTGGATGCTTTCGAATTTAATAGGGCGTTGTTATCAAAGGGCACCAGGAGGGATCCCTGTGGTGACAGAACTAGTATGAATCTTGACCAAGCCGATCACAGTCCAGGGATGGCTCTGTTAGACATGAACACCCCTGCGCCTCCAGCCCCCTAGTTCCTGCTGGTTGAGAAGCACTCCCTGCATCACACCACTGAGCCGCCTAAGAAGTTGCCGACACTGACAACCACATACGTGCAGTCAAGTCGGGACACAGGTAGTTCCCCGCAAATAAGGAAGAGTCCCTTCCTACTATCTCCTCAAGGAGGAGATAGAAAGAAATTTCACTCAAGGTTTCCAAGTAGAAAGCAAATTCGCTCATGCGCACTCTTTGTGTCCCAATCCTTGGCCTCAAATCACTGTTTTCTATAAGAAAATCTTTAACATGAATAAAAACAAAGTAGTGTCACGCTGGATGGTAGGTAAGGCCACAGGCTCGCCGACACACAAAGATCCAGGGTTGACTCCCACCTGTGCCTCTGCCTGCTCTGGTTTCAGACAGGCTACTTGACCTCCCTTCGCTTCAGCTTCGAGGAAATAATAACAGTGCTGTTTCCCAGGATTGTTTTAAGACGTGATTGTTTTGAGTGCTGATTACAGTACCAGGAACATAGTATGCAGTAATATCATTGATTTTATGCAATGCTCCACACATGAAATATTCAGAAAATGCTATGGGCTATTAACTCAAAAGTCTAGTGTGCTGTTCTTTCTAATTTAATTCATACTCCATGCTGGGTTATTTGTTCTTTTACCATTGGGCATAAGGTTTGCTCTGTTTAATTAATTCTTTCATTTCTAATCTTAACTAATTTTCACTGAAGATCTGGGTGTGTGTGTGTGTGTGTGTGTGTGTGTGTGTGTGTGTGATTTTAATTATTCAGGCTTTTTTGAAAGAGTTCATCCACAGTCCAGTGATTTGGGTGAATTTGAATTGGCTAACTTTCCACTTTTGACTACTTCTATTTTAACCTCAGTGTTGGATTAGAAATCCTGTCTTTTGCTCACATCGTTTTGCCTCTTTATCTGCTAATAATCTCTCACTTGATCATATCTGCGACAAAGATAGGAGATTCATTTCAATACCTAAACATTTGACTTTGGTTAAGTGTATGATAAGGGACAGGCTGCACTAGGAGGTGGGTGCCCAAGGTCCTAACAACAAGAATTATTTCTCAACTCTAGAAAAATGGTTTTCTGATCTCTCCCCATTATACTCCATGTACACCAAGATGATAAAATAAGTCAACATTCCCTAAAAAGTTAGTTAGTCTTATGTTGGCAAATCTAAATTTAATTTAGAACTCTTAACTATTGAATTGACTATTGAACTAGCTAGAAAGTCACCCAATACAGGTTTAGAGACAGTTATAAATCATCTAGAGAACTTAACTATTGTAGTGTGATTCTAGGAACTAATTAGACCAGTCAGGCCCAGATGGGACCTTGTTCGCAGCGTCTCCTTACTTAGAGCTGTCATGTGGTCTTGCACCAGTCTTAATTTCAAAGGGGATCCCCCACAAAGATTAAATAACATAAATCATAAGCATCATCTCTTAGATTTCAACAAACCACAAACCTGAGCGCACTATCACGAAAAAGCTACAGTTGTTATGTTTTTGGTGGAAAATTGAAAGATGGTTAAATTTTTACTTTCTTAGTTTAATTCAACACTTGTTTTAAGGTTATTTAGTTTGTCATATATGCTCCATTAATAAAAAAAAAATGGGGTGAAATATACAAAAGCTCAAAGACTAATATAACTATCAGCTATAAACCCACTGATCATATATTCACATTTAAACAGATTTGCCTCAATCTTGCTTTTTATAATATTTTTACATAGTTGAAAATGTGTGTTTCTGCCCCTTTTACTTGGCATTAAGTCTAATAGTAGTTACATAAACGCCATTTTTTTTTTTTTTTTTTTAATCCTCACCCGAGGACATTTTTCCACTTTTTGTACAGACAGAGTGGGAGGGAGAGAGAGGAAGAGAGAGAGAGAGAGAAACATCGATGTGAAAGGGACACATCGAGTGGCTGCCACCCGCACGACCAACCAGGGCCGGGGACAAACTGCAACCGAAGTACGCGCCCTCAGCGGGAACCGAACCCGGGTCTCTCCGGACCGCAGGCGGACGCTCTAACCGCTGAGCCAAACCGGCCAGGGCCATAAACGCCATTTTATTGACGGTATTCCTTTCTATAAACATACCACCTTGGGCTTCACCATACTAATAATTAGGCTTATACCATCTATTTTTAATAAATGATTCTTTTTTAAAAATCATGCTCATTTTAGGAAATTTAGAAAATACCAAAAAGCACAAAGAAGACGATATAAATTAGTGGTTAAATTTTTAAGTATCGCTGGGGTGATTCGAAAACTGAAGAAAGTACCTTGAGAACTGCCACTGACTGAGATCCATGAGGTGGCAGACACTGTGCAACCACATTCCTCGTATTTCTAATCCCCACTCAACAACACAGAACGGTCAATTTCGTATAATCACCAATTTACTTGTTTAGAGGTCATAGAGCTAGTAAGTGTTAAATGCAGATTTTGAATGAATGTGTCTAACCCCAAAACTATGTTATCTCTTGACTCTATGACACTGCCCTCCCCATCATCACCTCCACTTCACAGCACTTCTTCCACCACCACCACCACTTCTATCATCAGCACTTCCAACACCACCACCGCCTCTGCTACCATCTCCACCACCTCCAGCACTATCACCTCCACCACCAGCTCCATCATCTCCACCCCAACCACCTCCACCACCAGCTCCATCATCTCTACCACCACTTCTATCACCACCACTTCCAACATAGTCACCTCTGCCACCACCACCACCTTCACTATCACCTCCACCACCAGTTCCAACTCTACAACACCACCTCCAGCATCACCACTTCTACCACAACCTCCACCTCCACTTTCACCACTATATTCTCATCATCTTTTTTCATCTCTTCCCACTTTTAGATTCTTCTCTTCTCCTGCTTCACTCTGACCTTCTCCAACCTGCATTTCCTGAAGTGCCTGGGCCCCAGAGATGAAGCAAAGGCTACACTACCACATTTATTTTATGAACAATCCAAATCATTCATTCATTCACCAAATATCAACTGAGAGCATATTCTGTGGCAGGCACTATTCTGAGTGCTGAGACTACAGTAATTCTCCAACTTGAAGGATTTGTTTTTCAACACCAAGAAACTTCTTTTTTAGGATTTTCTCTCACACATCACTTGCTATGTTAACCTGCATAAAAATTGTCAGCCTGTGCTTAGGTCGGTCGCCAGCTCACACTGCCTAACCTCCACGCTGGATGGAAAGCAGAAGTGAGCTGTTCAAGAAGGATGCACGAGTCAAAAGGAAAGTCTCAGGCAATGCTCGTGAAGTAATGTCTTATCGCTCATTGCCACAGAAAGCTACCACAGGAAAGAGCTTCCTGTTTCCATACTCAGATGAGGCACATTTGCTTCATGCAGCTTGCCTGCAATAGTTCATACATGAACCCGCTGCAGAAAAGACACTGATATATAAAGAAAGAAGAAAAAAAGGAAAAGGAAAAGTACATTAAAGAATGAGTCCACCAAAAAATGCACAAACTGGAGTCCTTTTCCTTCTCACTTGCATGATGTGAGCAGGAAGGGACCTGCGTGCTTTCTATGTAAAATAAATAGCTGTGGAGGAATCAGAGTACACCACTTTACAGGTTTAGAGGTCATAGAGCTAGTAAGTGTTAAATACAGGTTTGGAATGAATGTGTCTAACCCCAAAGCTATGTTATCTCTTGACTATATGACACTGCCCTCCCCATCATCACCTCCACTTCACACCACTTCTTCCACCACCACCACCACTTCTATCATCAGCACTTCCAACACCATCTCTACCACCGCCTCTGCCACCATCTCCACCACCTCCAGCACTATCACCTCCACCACCAGCTTCATCATCTCCACCCCAACCACCTCCACCACCAGCTCCATCATCTCTACCACCACTTCTATCACCACCACTTCCAACATAATGGCTGTACAATGCCTAGGACAGTATTAGGAACACACAGGCACCTGTCAACTCATAAAGTCTAGTACTGTGGTCATGAATTCATGCCTTCATGGGTGGTAACTCTGACTCCCAGAGTTAAAATATTTTTCACATGTACACAAGCAAAACAAATAAACAAACAAATATTCCAGGTGCCCGGGGCGGGGGGGAATATCCTTTGAACCAATGTCACCTAAGTTTTCATTTTCATACAGAGATATTTTTTCAAGTCTATGAATTTTATCTAAAAGGAAAATCCCCTCCAGCTGCCTACATACAAAGGGGGATTCTCCACAAAGAAGACACTTTCTCAAAGGAGAGTGGCCAGAGTGTTACCCCAGATGAACTCCTCAGGACCCAAACAAATGCTGGATTGTTCTTTTCTAAATCAAACCCATGGTCTGCCGTCCAAGCAGCCATCCACACAACATCCATTTAAGAAACAGAAAAAAGCAGAGTGAGCACACAAGTCTCTTCTTCAAGTCTCTACGAGATTTAAAGCATGCCTGGAGTACTGGACCTCACAGCAAGTTTATAAAGAGTGGCATAAATATCATATTCCAAGACCCACATCGTAGAACTCACTGCTCTACAGAGTGCGAGAGTATCCATTGCCATATCATGTTGAAATGCCAAGCAATGACTTCTCATATATCAGCCAAGGAGTGATTTTACTTACATGCAATAAAAAGACAGTAAATCCGAGAGCTGGCTCTTTCTCCCTGAGTTCAGAAAACTCATAGTACTCTGAAGCAAAGTTTGAGGGTTCCACTCTAAGTAGCCACACCTCTGGAGGCTCAGTGTACGCAGCCCTACCATTAGAAGCTGACCAGAGAGTGAAGCTCTTTCGAAAGAAGGGGAAGTGTCATCTCTACTTCCCCCATTTTACTGCTCTCCATTCTTATTATTTAATTTGACATTGATTCCAAAATCCAGGACATAATCTATGCAAAGCAGGCATCTGTTTGACTGCATTGATTACTAAACACGGTACAGTGTACTCATTTCCAGGACGTATGTATGGAGGATTACATGGCTCTGCTTTTCCTGTTTTGCAGGCAGAGATGTTTATTCACGGGCACAGAGGGTGAGATCATTTGCAGAGCTGCTGTTGGTGTATTTTGTTGAGATGGCACCTTTTTATCATGAATCTCTTTTAGGCTCAATCTTCATTCAAATTCCCTTTCTCGCCTCCTCATAGTTCATGATACCGTACCAAACAGAGGGCACAGGTAGATTTCCAAAAAGTATTTTAGGATAAAAAACAAGTCTCGGCCTGCCATTCTTTCACAGCACACACAATAGATTTTCTAATTTCAAAACGTTTCTCTCACGTTGCACGTGGGGAAAGGAAATGGCAGGCTGCAGGTTGGAGGTGGGTAAGCTCGTCACCGATGATTCCCCGCCCTCCCGCCATCCTTTCGGCAACACCAACATCCGGTTTCTTCAACCCTTCTCAGGAAAAGAATGCAGTCTCACTATACTTACACTCTACTTGCACAGAAAAGGCAACATGTCATTGGAAATGGGCTCCTGACAAAAGCTGTTTTCCAAAATATGGTCACTGCATCGTAGTCACCTACAGCTGCAGAGCAGATTACCCCTGACACCTAGATTACCTATAGCTGCAGAGCAGATTACCCCTGACACCTAGATTACCTATAGCTGCAGAGCAGATTACCCCTGACACCTAGATTACCTATAGCTGCAGAGCAGATTACCCCTGACACCTAGATTACCTACAGCTGCAGAGCAGATTACCCCTGACACCTAGATTATCCACAGCTGCAGAGCAGATTACTCCTAACACCTAGATTATCCATAGCTGCAGAGCAGATTACCCCGGACACCTAGATTACCTATAGCTGCAGAGCAGATTACCCCTGACACCTAGATTATCCACAGCTGCAGAGCAGATTACCCCTGACACCTAGATTATCCACAGCTGCAGAGCAGATGACCCCTGACACCTAGATTATCCATAGCTGCAGAGCAGATTACCCCTGACACCTAGAGGCGTACACCACCCACCTGTTACCTCAGCGTTTCTGTGTCAGGAATCTGGGCCCAGCTGAGCTGGGTTCTCCGGCTAAGACTCTCACACAAGCCTACAGTCAAGGGGTCAGCTGGGACCATGGCCACCAGGGGGCTCAGCTGAAGAAAAGAATCTTCCAAGCTCACTCACGTGGTTGTTGGAAGGATTCAGTTTCCCAGGGGCTGTGGGACCCAGGGCCTCAGTCCAATGCTAGTGGCTGGCCCAAAGCCACCCTCTGTTTCTGATCACAGGTCTCTCCTTAGGACAGCTCCCAACACGGCAGCTGCTTCATCAGGGCAAACAAGTAAGAGTGGAAAAGAAGGAGACGGAGGAGTCGGCTCCTGGTGAAAAGCCTGCGTGTGGTTTTCTCAGGCCTGCCCACAGGTCATGACGAAGGCTCCCCCCTGGCAGGCCTCAGGGACAAGCTGCGCACCACGTCTCTGGGGGGAGTTGCAGTCAAGGTCAGGGCCCGATCAGTCATGTTCTTCTGTGTATTTCCATCCCCAGCCCCAGCGCCTGCCTTCCTTCGTGTCTTTATCTGAGATGTTGGGCCAAGCTCCTGCTCAGGAGTGTCTGCTGAGGTGTCCTTACGAAGGGAAGAGAGGAAGCCTTTGGGACCCTTTCCTCACTACGCAGTCGGCACCCCCACAATACACATACCTCAGGGTCCAGAAGCTGCGGAGCCTTCGGCTGGGAACTTCCTCTGCAGGTCAACCCCCGGCTGCTGAGCTCCCCTTCTACAGGGAAGCAGAATGGGGGAGTCAGCCCCCCTCCACCCGCGGACTCCTGCTTGTGCTCTCGCAGGAACTGAGCAAAGCCTTCGCTCTTTCGTGATTGGGTTGGTGCTCGAATCAGCTGCTCTGACGCCTGACAACTCAGCACCCACTTGCCCAACTCCATTGACCTTTTGTCCGAAAGAGAGTGTTAGCAAGACAGAATTCACTGTCTTTTGTAACCTATTCTCAGAAGTGATATCGTATCAGTTTTGCCACGTTCCATTTGTTAGAAGCCAGGCACTTGGCCATGGTTACCAAGAGCATCCTGCCCACACCTGGTGACCTAATGACCCTCATCATTGCACCTCCAAGAAACAGACAGGTAAGCAAAAGCCTAAAGTACACTGTGAAACTGGCCTGGAATCTGGAAGGTGCCGAAGTCATTTCAATGCAAAGAATAACTTCTCACAGAACCACAAGCATGAGAAAGTCTCAAAACAAACCCAGAGCTGGATGAACTTTTCTCAGAGAGTTTATGAAGTCACCTGAGTCATTGTCCCATTAGCATCAGATCTCCCTGACACTGGCTTTTCTCCTCTCGATGCTGATTGAATCTGCTTCTTCCTAAGAACAATTAGGCAAGGCTTCCCTGCCTGTAGCCCCCACCAAGTCCACGTAATCCAAAAGCAGGTCACGCTTTTGTGAGCATGAACTGCTTAGACCAGGGCAGACAGAAGGTCTGCTTCCTGGTCTCCAACAACTGGGGGTAAGGAGAAAGGGTCGTTCTAGGTAGAGAAGTCAATAATTCAGTTGACTTCAGATCTTCCTCATTTGAACGTGTGCTGATAACAGCTAACAGAAACCAGTATCACTTGATTGACAGCTTAACTGGCACCAGAGCTAAGGGCAGCATCTTTAAAAGCAAAGTGAAAATCCTCTGTAGGACATGCTCTGTGTCTCTGCTTTTTCAGAAGTTTTTAAATTGGCTGATGAAACATCGCCTACATACCCCATACCTCACCATCCAAATGTCAAGAACAACTGGGTTAAACATAAATAATGCTGTTGGGGGAGCAGAGAAAGGGAATATCAACAAAGTTGCTATTTGGTAAAAGCTTTCCTTCGGGGAATAGATCATAGTTTGAAAACGACTTCGGTCTCTGGCCTCAGACGTCCTCTCATTTTCTTTAGATTCATTTCATGAGAAGATAAGAACTGGGTTAAATCTGGGGAGGGGTCAAGGATTAAAAGAAGGTGCTGTACACTTGAGCAGGAGTAAGACGAGAGTCCCCTCAGTGGCCTCTTGTTCACATAAACTCCGTCTCCGGAAGGGCTGCCCCATCTTGTCCCTACACTGAGTTGTCTGCTGCGTTAGATGGTGTCAAAGGTATTCAGTGACATTGATCACAGGGGCTGATTTCTCATCAGACTTGTAGATGCCGTCATCAAAGACATCCTCAAAGGGCATGTGGTTTACAATGGTGGGGCCAGGATTGGGGCCACTTAAATTCTCAGAGCAGGATCACCTGACTTACAGAAGCAGAATACTCCTCAGCGGCTGGGCTTCAGTTCAAGGTGGAGTGATCACTGATTCTCTTTTTGCCCCTTTCCCTCCCTCCCAAGACTCCATTAAAGTCATAGGAAAAGTCTATAAAAACTATATAAACCCCCAGTAACCGAAGTAAAGTTGGAGGGAGAAATGAGAGCTGGAGAGACCGCAGCAGGGTTCTGAAGACGGGATGACGGGAGAGGAGAGGAGGCAAAGGACAGCGGAAGCCGCGGCGTCCTGGCAGGGAGCACAGTGTGGGAACCTGCGCCACCTTCCCACGTTGGCACACACGGGCCTGCAGACAGCCACTTCACCCTGCCCCTGGCACTCTGCTCTGAAGAAACTGCAACTGCCCAGAGTTCCGTGGAGAGCAGGGGAGAGTTTGGGGAGTGGAAGGTGAGGTTTAAGGGGAGGAGTCAGGAGATGCTGTATTGGCAGGAATTCAAGTGCAAGCATGCTGTTTTCCAGGTCACCCGAGTAACCGATAAAAGCGCTAAGTGGGAGATTTCACTATACTGGGAGGAGGATAGAGATGAGGGAGTTCTCAAGTGAGCCAAATCCTCATCTCTTGTTCCCCCAGGTCAACAGATGACGTTGGAATGGACTAAGAAAGAAGAGTGTGAACAGGGTGTGCGGAAGACACCAGGATTACAACCAGAAGAGCGAAGTGGTGAGCAGGTTAGAGCGGAGGGGGCCACGGGGGACTGCTCTCCCTTAGCTCCCTGCCGGGATCGCCCAGCTCCCAGGCTGGCTCCCCTTTGCGGTGTAGCTCACCAGCCAGTTCCTCGGAGAAGCATTCCCATCGCGCAGGCTGAAGCAGGTCCCTCCTCTGCTCGCACAGTATTCTGTACGTATCCCTGTACAAACGCCGACATGTTTTATTGTCACTGTGTTTGTGAGCACAGGCATCGTGTGCCTTCGCAAGTGCCTGTCCTTACAAGGGCCCATGCTTGGTTTAAGGCGCCCGCGTTACCTTTTTGGAAGTCTTAGTAATCTCTTAAAGAGGGCCCCAAGTTTTCATTTTGAACTGGGCCCTGCAATGGATACAGCTGCCCGTTTTCGAAGTTTGGCTCCTAACCGGACTGTCAGCTCTTTGAAAGCAAGGATAAGTTGTTTTGAAATGTGTACCCCGATGAAATACAGGGCCCTCCGTAAATGACCACTTGCCTAATACTTATATATACTTTACTTGTGAGGTCTATAATTTTACACTCTAAGATTCAAGAACATAATTCATCTTTCAGAAAAGCTATGATTTGGGGCCTGCCAGGAGCCTCTCTAAAAACATCCTTAAACATCGCTGAGTCTCTGATACCTGAAATGCCATCATTAAGGGCTTATTCCTTTGTTTTTTAAGGCGTTCTATTCTCTAGCATTGTCATTTCTTCTGAGAGAGACAGACTGGATGCTTCACTCATGAACCTTAACTCAGATACATTTGTCATATCGCTTTAGTTCTGACAGACGCAACCCTTCCCAAAGGCAGGAGACTCATTTGAAGCTCTGCACACGTAACCTACAGCTGTGGTCCTGATTTGGGACTATGTTGGTAAAACATAGAAACAAATGACTCAATAGCTCCCTGAGCCTCAGCCAGTGTAAATCAGTGAAGTGAACATTTTCATGTTATACCTGAAAATATATCAATATGCAAGGATTTTTTGGAAAATATATATTATCTCCAGCACATGTAATATCATCTCTAAGTTATGCCTGAAACAATTTTCACCTTTTCCACTAATCAACATAAAACCCTTACTGGCTTATTTACTATTCAGCATATTTATGGAATATATTTCATGAGTGGTGATGAGCAAGACACTGACAGCTGTGTAGCCAGGATGAGAGGAGAGCTCAGACACCCAGGGACAAGGCCAACAGGCGGCAGCACACGGTAGATGACACAGGACTG